TATGTCCTTCTTGTGAGAGTGCATAGAGGGTGTGATGTGACATGTACTTCTAGATTACTCTACATGTATTGTTAATGGCAATGCACAAATGTGATATTTTTACTAGTGTCACATGCATGTTAGCATGTAATACGTCTCCATTGCATAATGCATTTTAATCTTATCTATTATTGCTTATTATGCTATGAATGAACAACTGTGATGATATTGTTTATCTGTGTATGCTATACATTATTGTATGTGTTGTTTGTGTTTGACTAACTAGTTTTCATTCTTACATTGTAAGTAAAAGTGAAATGTTTCTCGCTCCCTTTGTTTTGTGTGATTTTCTTGTAGATTTTGTAGGTGACCATTAATATGGTGTTGAGGATGTTGGTGATGAGGTTTAGTCTTCAATGTTGGGTTTTGCTTTGATAGAACATGTGACATCAGAGCTTAGTTAGGATTAATTAAGATTTAATTCATGTCGTTTAATTTGAGTAGTTTGATTTTAATTCTTTTGTAATTTTGTTATGTCTGTCAAGTTTAATTTATGTTAACAATGTGATTCACTTTACCTGTATGACTTTGAACTTATTATTTTATATGAGACATTTTAGTTTTATATTATTTATGTGTTATGCTATGTGGGATAGAGAATGTCACACTGGTCAATAAGAGATCTACAAGTGAATCTCCATGAAAAACCCCTTGACTGTAAATGGTCAGATAAATAGGAATAGAGTTAGAAATATGATAATGACAAGCAATGTTAGTTGGGATAGCAAAAATGTGAAAAGGGAGATAAAGGAAAAAAGAACAGAAAGGGGCCCCTGCCAGAAATCACCTTCAGTGGTGGTGCATAATAGAGAACAACGGTTAAAGAATTTAGAGGAAGGGGAAAGAATGATTCGATATGAAGATGTAAAATATCATCTTTAAGATTAGATAGATCTAACATTATATAAAAATTATATACAATACATCATATAAAGAGTTGGACCACCCTAACACTTGTTGAGCACCGAGGGGGTTACCACACATACACACATGTCTCCACATTGGTGAGATATTGTCCACTTTGAGCCCAAACCCTCACAGTTTTGCTTTTGAACATCACCCAAAAGACCTCTCAACCAATAAAGACAACTGTATGTATATAAACTCATGTCCATCCTCTTGTTTGAACAATATAGGACTTTAGTTGCATCCCAACAACACCCATCCTATTTCCTTATGAAATAACTTATCAAAACTTGCTTCTCCCCACTTTCCTTCTTCTTAGTCAACTCCCTCTCTATTTCTTTTTTTATCAAAACAGGCTTAATTCACTTTCCTTCGTAGTCAACTTTCTCTCTAGTTCTTTATTATCAAGCAGGCTTAATTCAATTCGTAAAATATATCATTTTTCAATTTTTTTAATCATTGAATAAAGTATCTAATGATTTAATATTTTCTAATCACTAATACTCAATACTTGCGTGGAAAATCTAAATCTGGTCCACTCAAAGCAACGGAATTTTTAAAAGTCTCTTTTTATAACTGAAGTGGGATTTTGTGTGTGATTAGAAAGGAAGCACATGACTGTGGGCACTTGCAATTCCCAATCACAACGGTGAAATCACATGTACACTGTTAATAATATAGATTCCAGAAGTGCTGAAAATGATATCTATTACTAATAAAATAAATATTATAGACCAATGACCCAGCTGGTTTTTCAAATCTTACAGAGCTGAGCTTGACTGCACTATGATCATCATAAAGAGGTTCGAATGTGACAAGCTGAAAACGACCCTTGAATTACCCTTTTGCTGTTTTTCTTCTTCATTTTTCTTCTTATTAAAATTCAATGCTCAGAACTTCAGATCAAGATCTCACTTCCAATATTAAATTAATGGAGTTCATAAAACAAACAGAACAATTAAGAAACAGATCAGCCAATGTTTCAAGCTTGTCCACTAAGTTCGTGTCTGTACGTGGGATTATGTTAATACCAGTAAATTCTTTGAGATTATTAGATCATAGACTTGCTCTAATTTTTGACTTATTAGATCATAGACTTACTCTAATTTCATCGATGTATCAGATTAGTCAAGTTTACATAAAATCTATGGATTCACATGATTGTAGATAGATCTTTACATATTTAATTCTACATTAAAAAATTATTTTAGACCTACAACTAATTTTCAGAAGAAACAACTTTAAAAATATTTTTAAAATCTCAAAAATCAGACCGTAGTTATATAATTTGGAGAAATAATTTAAGGATTTATTCATGTATAAGCTCTATGATCTATGGATTCATTACACTGACATAAGTCAGTTTTGGAACAAATTCAGATTTGGGGAGAATGATTTAAGTCCTATTTTGGGGGTCCTACACTGCAAATAATGGTGCTCTTTGGGATCTTATTACCCCTTTTTAATTAGCCTAAAGCTATGAGAACTAAAGAATCTTTTACACTTTCTTAAACCAACCTCGTTCTAAGGCATAATAATTTTGGCACTAGGATTTGAGATTTGGTTTCATTTTGCCACTAGAGGTGCATGACCCTAGGCATCACTTTTGCCCCTTTTGTTATTCAAATTTATTATAATATTCCATGGTTTATAGTCTCACTATTACAGAGAATAGAATATTTTGTCACACCTTCCGGGGCAAATGTAGCTCAGATTCACATACACAGAAACTGGCTTCTGTTAGATTTTTGTACAACATGTAGTAATGGACGGTGTATAAAATTTTTATTAATCATAAGATTTCTGTCTCATCTCTAGCTTGAATAGTTCTTGATAATTCGTGTCATGATTTGTAATTATACTAATTGGGCATCCAAGGGATTTACCTAAATCTAACTTGAGATCAATGCATGTCCTTTCTTCCCAAGATTGGACAATCAACATAAGCAAAGTTAAGAAATTGGCTCCAATTCTATCAGTTACAACCTGAGTGGGAACTAATGATGAATTTTCACATGTTTGAAAAACTAACATGATAATGTTAATTGTAGTGCTAAAAATAGCACAGTGCATTATGGTACTCTCACAGTCCCAAATTTGGGTCATTGTTTCCTGAGAACTTCATCATATCATAACCATTCCACGAGGCATACATAATAACACTTTAACCCATAACATTTCAATTATCAATGTCCATCTTTTTGAGTCCTCGAAACTGCAAATTCCAACAATATTGTTCAGCGTTACTGGGTTGATTAGTAGACAGAGATACCCAAAGTTAGCACTCAAATGATTCAGCACTACTATTTGAAAGCATATCATAGAGTTTGAGGCATGCATTCAACTATTCATGCTTTAGCATCATAGTTGCCCACAACTTCACTTTTTCCTCTCTAGTGCAAACTCATGCATTATACAATCATCTTTTCCCCAAAATACATGTCACCAAAACTACATTGTAGCCCACAACTTAACTTTTTTTATTCCCTAGTGCAAACTCATGCCATATATAACCATTTTTTTTTCATGTCATTGAAACTATAATATATAACGGTAGCTTCCAAGTTGAGTCTTTTGTTACACTAAAATTAGGCTTAATCAGCACACCCTACAAAACTAAATGGAGTACAGTCTGTTATCACCCACCGACTTCTATTTGTCACCCCACTACATTAGTACCTCCGAGTGACCCATACTTGATATCCCTCCTTGACCATATCTCAAAATAAATAATAAATAAAAAATAAAAAACTTTCAAACTACAAATCTTGTTGTTCTTACCGTGAGTCCGCTGTCATCGTTAACCGCTTTGACACTTATTAGGCCACCACGGTTTAGTGTTTATAAACTACCTTAGCCTCAACTCCTAAGCGATGTAGGACTTTTAAGCATACCAAAACAATCCCCGGCCCAGTAAATGCTAAGGGGCAAGAGTGGCCTAGACCCTCAGATGTTCCTACCATGAGTTCACCGTCATTGTTAGAGTCACCGCATCCGAGGTATTGTCCGCTTTGACACTCATTAAGCCGTCACGGTTTTGTTTTTTAAAAGGCGTCTTGGTGGGTTAAGGAGGAGGGTGTTTATAAACTACTCTTAACCTCGATTCCTAAGCGATGTGAGACTTTTAAGCATACAGAACACTTATTAAAAAAAGTTATTTTATTCCTATACTCGATTTCTCTTTCATTTCATTATTATTATATTTTTTTCCTTCTTTTTATTCCTATACCCACAACATTTAGTACCTCTGAAATCCGAGTGACCCATACCCTGATATACCTCCTTAACCATATCCTCCAAAAAAAAATATCTTGACAAAAAAAATTGGATTTAATTGCGCTTCTCATCTTTTATGTTATACTATTTCACAAATTTGTAATCTAATTTTTAAAATTACATGCTTTATTGGATTTAATTGCACTTCTCATCATTTATGTTATACTATTTCGCAAATTTGTAATCTAATTTTTAAAATTACATACTTTATGTTCTTATTAAGGTTTTTAAATACATTAATTATTAATATCACATATTAATTTTTGACATTATACTTTATGTTATCATTTTTATGTTATATCAATAATCTGTTAATAATTAATTAACAAGGTTAAATGATCAATTAAAAAAATAATATAATATATAAATTTTTAATATTAGATACTAAAATATACTATTTTAAAAATTAAAAATATATTAATTATTAACATGACACATTAATTATCGACATAATATATTTGGTTATCATTTTTATTTTATATCAACAATTCATGTTAATAATTAATTAACAATGTTAATTAATTAAAAGAATAATACAATATATATTTTTTAATATTTGATACTAAAATATACTATTTTAAAAATTAGGCAATTAAAAAAGTAAAATTAAGTAAAAAAATAAAGTCATTAAATTGGTTCCGTTTTTTACTCATAATCATTCATTTTTTTTTTATCTTTCTTTATATTTTTCATCACATTATACACCGTATACCTTAAATTTCCATTAAAAAGTGTGCCAACGAGGATGGTTGTTTTACTTATATATACAAGACTAAGTCGATATTTGAAGGCACCCACCAAGAATCACAGAGCCTCAACCTTAACACAGCCATGAAAACCCCACCAATACTCACTCCTATAGTGCTCTTCCTCCTCTTCTCCCTAGCCAAAGGGGTGAGCCCCAAGTGTGAAGGGCAAGAGCATGGCTCAACCCTTAAAGTGTTCCATGTGTTGAGCCCATGTTCCCCATTTAGGCCATCAAGGGCAATGTCATGGGAAGAGAGTGTCCTACAGCTAGAGGCCAAGGACCAGGGCAGGATGCAGTACCTGTCCAGCTTGGTGGCTAGGAGATCAATTGTCCCAATTGCCTCAGGCAGGCAAATCACACAGAGCCCTACATACATTGTGAAGGCCAAGATTGGTACCCCAGCTCAGACCCTTCTCTTGGCCATGGACACTAGCAATGATGCTGCTTGGCTCCCTTGCACTGCTTGTGTTGGTTGCTCAACTTCCACACCCTTTGCACCTGCCAAGTCCACCACTTTTAGGACTGTTAGATGTGCTTCTCCTCGGTGCAAACAGGTGAGTCAGTGACTGAATGAGTGAGTGAGTGAATCAACATATTTTGTTTCTTACCAACATTTATTATTTTCTCCTAGTTCCTTTCCCCTTCGGTAGTGAAATCACAAACACCCACATGTTTGTGGCGGCTGAAATGTTTGGATCTCATTGTTTTTCAGTAAATAGTGACTCCTTTTGAATGTAAATAATAATGTTAGTTAAAAAGTTATCGGAAAAAAGTCATGAACTTGATGATTTCTTTTAACTGAATTTAAGAGAATTAATTTCAATTTCATTCAGATCAATTTTGTTTTAACTATATTATTGATATAAAATAATTACTTATTTTAATAATAAATATTTCTTTTGTGGAAATTTTTCTTTTAACAATATTTTTTTTATATTCATAATATTTCAACTTAAAATTTTATTTAAGAGAATTAAGAAGAATTTTACTTGGGTAACGGTTTGTTATAAACATGGTTTTTATTTTTTTAGGATTTCTACATTTTATGGAAATCTTCATGTAAATTGATTAGTTTCTTTCTATCGTCATATACAACTATGTATTAAAGTTGAGTTATATTTGGATGCAACTATACGACGTTAGAATGTATTGCAACAAACATAATCAAATGTTTGGAATGATCCAAAAGAATATCTTGGTTGGATTACGACAACCGGTCACGTGTGCTACCACTAGACACCGCATAAGTTTTATTATCGAATAAAATCTTAATGACAATGTCTTATATGTTGATGGTGTTCCTTTCAATCAAAATAGTAACTTTATTTAAGATCCGTAAAAAATAACACTAAAATTACTTAAATATTGCATCTAAATTTATGTTCATATCTTTTATTCTTTATTGGTTTATCTTCATATAAAAATTCTATACTATTCCACAATTATTTCATGGATAAGCACGCGCATCTTGCGCGTGGGCTTGAATTAATTATGAACATTCCAATTTCACAAAAAAAAGATCTCAATCCTAGTTTGTGACTCTAGACTCTAGTTACCTTAGCAGGCAAAAAGGTCACGAGACTTAGCAAAGTTACTTGTTAGTTTTCGAATTTTGGCTCTGTGGTCCTCATTACTGAATTCTAAGCTTGTGAAAAATTCAGGTACCTAACCCCACTTGCGGTGGAAGCGCGTGTGCATTCAACTTCACTTATGGCACTTCCTCTGTGGCAGCTAACCTGGTCCAAGACACAGTGACCCTAGCCACTGACCCAGTTCCAGCCTACACCTTTGGCTGCATTCAAAAGGCAACAGGGACCTCAGTACCACAACAAGGGCTCTTGGGCCTGGGCCGAGGCCCGTTGTCACTCTTGGCCCAAACCCAAAAGCTCTACCAATCTACATTCTCCTACTGCTTGCCCAGCTTCAAGACACTCAACTTCAGTGGCTCACTCAGACTTGGGCCTGTGGCCCAGCCCAAGAGGATCAAGTTTACCCCTCTTCTCAAAAATCCTAGAAGATCATCACTCTACTATGTGAACTTGGTGGCTATTAGAGTTGGTCGGAGAATTGTTGATATTCCTCCTGAGGCTTTAGCTTTCAACCCAACCACCGGAGCAGGCACCATTTTTGATTCTGGTAATGTCTAATTAACATCTTCTACTAATTCAGGAAAAAAAAAATTAAATTCACTTTAAATTTATTTTCTAATAGATCATATATATGTTTATAGTGCATTATCATTCATTATGGAGGGGTTATCTAATTTTAATCAAACACTATTTAGACTAATTATTATTATTGACCAACGTTGTGATGGATTGTCATGAAATGTTGATATGATTCCTTTCCTCTAGGTTCTTTAGTAGATTTGGATATTTCCTCTCCCTTTTACCCTCTGAACGTGGAGTGACGACATCTTTGAATAATTGTCTTGTTTTTGTCCCAATTCTCAAGATGCAACATTATTATATGAGATTCATCAAGACAAAATTGGAGTCAAAAGGCTTCAAGGTGATTGGAGGATGGGTCACTGTCATACATGCTCATCCATGTGTCTTAAAAAAAAAAAAAAAAACGAGAATCATCATCTAAAAAATTAAAGAGATAATTATAATTAGAATAACCTTTACAACAATTTTATTTTGACAGCTCTTTACAACATTTGTTATACACTTTATGATAGTGATACTTTATCTTACACTTTTTTGTTATATTTTTTTATTATCAGTTAAAAAATAACAAATTTTTATAGTAGATTTCAATATGAATAGATCAGAAGAGAACTCATTAGATTAGATAAGACAGAACATACAAAAGTTATGAAATCCAATATATTTCGATCAATAGAAAAAAATTATTCGAGAGAATGTAATTAGCATTTCTTTCTCTTTTAATTTATTTTATCCTATTTAATTAATTATTGTAGTTCATACTTTCTCCTTTTCTCTTTATGTTTGTCTTGTGTAAAATTTTATATAAGATGTGTTACTCTTATAATTATACTACATAACAATTATAATTATATAAGATGTTCACTAATGTGTTTTTTTTTCCCTGTTAAATACAACTATAGGCACGGTGTTCACCCGGCTGGTCGAACCGGCCTACACCGCCGTCCGAAACGAGTTCCGGCGACGAGTTGCCGTGGGCAAGAAACTCACCGTGACAAGGCTAGGAGGGTTTGACACATGCTACACAGTCCCAATAGTTGCACCAACAATAACATTTATGTTCTCCGGCATGAACGTGACACTGCCACCGGACAACATCCTCATACATAGCACCGTCGGCAGCGTCACGTGCTTGGCCATGGCGGCGGCGCCGGATAACGTGAACTCCGTCTTGAACGTGATCGCCAACATGCAACAACAAAACCACCGTGTGCTCTACGACGTGCCCAACTCAAGGCTAGGCGTTGCTCGTGAGCTTTGCACCTAATAATAATAATAAGTGGTTCTAGGTCAAGAATTTTCATGATCCCTTGTGGTACATTAATAATCGTGTCAAATTGGCATGGCAAGTTATTTGGGTGTGTTGGTATTTGATCTATATATCATGTTTTTGGCATTGCTAAGAGTTTATTGCTAACTATATAGGAGAAGATAGTTCTACATGTCTAAGGCATTGCATGTAAGTTTGCATGTTTGAAGTTATATTTGTAGTAGTGTCAAAATAGTTATATTTGTAGCTTTGTAATTGCATGTGTCACGGGGTCATATATCTGTAGCATTCCCTTGTATCGTTTATTAAAGTTCATTGGATTGATAAAGACATTACATTATGGGACAAAGTTCACGGGTAGCCTGTAGCATTTTAGAAATATGATCCAACTTTTTTAAGTTTGTTTTTTGGTGCTCCTAGCTATTGTCTCAACCGTTTTTTAATCTCAACTTTTACTTAGCTATTGTATTCTTAGAAATATTACCTACTTATTGATCAGCTTTTTTTCTTTCTTTCTTTAACACATTTTGTTGCTATCTTCTTTTAAGTTACTTTTTCACAAATAGGAGCTTTCCTAATTCAGTGTAAACATGACCTCCACTCCTTTTACAGTACACATTCTCTTTCTCTCTCCCTTAGTTTCTCGATTAAATTTTTATGATGGAAACCTTAGGAGACTTAATTGATGTAGTTTCACCTTCAAACTTATTGGATAGATCTTTAACTTCTTAAACTTCTTTAAGCTCTTTTAATGACTTTCAATGATGTTAGAAGTCATTTTTAACACACAAGGAAAAATAGGATCTTCCTCAGGTTATGTCATACACTTAAAAAGTGTTAAATCTCTTCAAATTCTCACCATACTAAAAAGAGGATAAGAGAAAAGAAAGAATTTTTAAAGAGAGAAACAAGCTTTGAGAGAGAGAATTAGAGAGAAAATTTCATCTAATTCAATAAAAGCTCAAAATTATCTAGCCAATACAAGAGAAAAATAATATATAGGATTTGGTTGGCTTATGATGCAAGGTACATTAACCATGGTTAAGTATAATCATGATTAGCGATATTGTACTTAAGCTAACCAACCCTAGTTAAGTATCTAGAAACTTATGAGGTAAGTTAAGCTAATTCTAGTTTAGAAATAACCTAGGTTAACTTAAGTTAACTCCAAATACTTAACCTAATCATTACAACTACCAAACTAATGATTATTTTTAATAAGTTGTTGATATGTTACTATCAAAAGTTATGTGACTTATTTAACTATTTGGATGGCTAAATTGGCTAGGTTTGGATATCCAAACCACTTGCATGAGCAAGCGAACATTCAAACCTATAAGCCATGAAAAGATTTGAGTCATCAAAACCCAAATAAGTCTATCATAACTTTAGCTAGTTACACATTCTCTAAACTACTAATTACACACCCTTAAAGAAAAATTATATAAGGACAAAAATTTCTATACTATTTAATCCAAAATACAAGGCCAAAAATAACCTATACATAGTATATACAATAGAAGACTAAGCAACTGGGAGAACACATACTATATGCTCATGAAGCACATCCTCTCTAGTAGTTTCCTCTAACCTCCTAGCCATAAATCTTGTCAAAGGTCCTATGGTCTTCAAGGATGGTCCTCCATCATTTCAACTTTTGTGTATTTTTTCCTCCACTCTTTTTTGGAACTATTATATCATGTAACTACTCCAAATCACACTATTTTTGTTTTATTTTTTTAAATAAAAATATAAAATCATGAAATGTCTTTTCCCCTTTGTTAAAATAAAAATCTATTTTTTTAACACATTAGACGATTCTTTAAGTTTTAATGATAAAAAAAAATGTTCTTTAAACAAAAGTCAACATTCTTCAAAGTTAAAACTTATAAAATGAAATGTGAAGAAAACACATGTTATCTATAAGTTGAAAGAAGTCAAACGAAGCATACAATCCATTTGATGACACTAAATGAACACTGTTGTATAAGATTAACATTGAACTTCATTTAATATATTATTCCTCAGAAGATTGAACAAAAAAGGAACTTCAAAACTCTCGAAGCGCATTAAAGAGGAAAAAGACAAAATATCTGTGTAGAACTAAAAAGAAAAATCTTGGATATAACAAAAAAATTACTGAAAGGGATTGCTCTACACCAACCTCAATTGCTTTACGCTAACACTACTCTATTACACTCAAAATAGAAGGAAATGATAAAAAAGTAGCTGTCTGAATCAGATAAGAGATACACACATCATTGATAAGCATTTAATGCAACAATGATAATTTCTAGGATTAGCAAGGAAGATAGACGAAACAACTTGTGAAGAAATTTGATCATTTTAAATCCAACATTGTTGTAAAAGTTATCTTCAAAAGGGCTACTATATAATGATCAAGCCTTGAGAGAAGAATAAAAAGAACATACGCGAAGAAAAAATGTTGTACATAAAAGATCAACATTCATTGAGCAATTTTCATTGATCAAATACACTGCAAACAAAACTGAAGCATTACGAAGAAACTTTTCATTGCAATTCTTGTAAATAGTTCTTTGTAGTCTATTTTGTGCTTAAGTTTAATAGCATCACGTCTATAAGAGATGGAGCTATCATTGTAACTCTTGTCAAATTTATTTGTAAGGGGTGAGCTTAGAGAGGCTTGTGCAAAAGAATACTTAGTGTTGAGCCTAAAGAGACTTGTTGAAAGAATACTTGGGTTTGAGCCAGAAATGGCTTGCGAAAGAATACTTTTATCTTGTACAAGATAGTAGAACTCAATTTGGTTGAATTGAGAACAATACGTAGTCTTTGTGTTTGAGACAAACTAGTATAAAACACTTGTGTCACTTTGTCCGTTGATTTTCAATACTTTGTTTGTTACAACTTTTACTACTTCATTGCAAAAACGCGAGTTTTTTATATACATTATTCAACCTCTCTTCTAATGTGTATCTTTTTTCTCCAACACCCTTTAAAAATAAAGTAAATTTTAAGAATATGAGTTTTATTGTGAAGTAGAGATGAAGAGGACTGAATGTCTAAATATGAAATGCTCAAATGGTGGTATGTACCTATAGAGACTCCAATGTTGAATGAATTTTAGGGAGAGAGAAAAAAAATGACTTTTCTCTTCTTGAAGATAGAGTATATGTTTGTTTTTACATTTCATCCAATTGAACGTGAATTCATCGTCTCTCTTATTTCTACGTTTCTGCCTTGGAAAGTGGAAATAAAACTTAGTTAAATGGTGTTCAAATGATAAAACAAACAGACTTAAAGTTTTTTTTTGTGATTGTTATTTGACTATAAAAAAATATTAAGGTTATTATAAGTCTTAATGGACATTAGGTCTTATGGACTCGGTAATCACTATATTTATACGCATTAAGTTAGTTAGGTTTGACTGCTTGAGTTTGAATAAGTATATTATAAAAGTAACTCTTGAAAAAGTTAAAATCTCCCATGTAAAAATTGCTTTTAAGTTGATATTGTTTCATAAAAGAACTCCAACTTTAGAGGTATAAAACAATTTTCTCATGTTGCTTTATAGAAACAATTATGACCTTAGAGGTTAAATCTTTGTCAAATTAGTTGTTCCTAAGTCAAAATTGCTCTGATTATAGATGTTAAAGCATAATTTTAAAAATTGGATATAAAATTGACTCGGTGAAGATATTAGGTCAATGGGTTACTAGGTTAATTGATAGGTCATTAGTTGAACCATATAAACTCATATAAATAAAATATTATATATATATATATATATATATAGTAAGATTAAACACATAAATGTCATTGTCTAGTATATATTTCCCTCTCTTGAAAAGAACCTAGCTTGAATTTTGATTGTAACGCTGTTTTAGTAATCTGTTTTTGCCAAACTACCACTAAACTACGTAATTCTCAAGCAGCACTCCTTTGTTGCAGAATGTGCAACATTTCAACATGTAAACCTTTATAAAAAGGTGAAATATAGTGAATGATATCTTGAATTGGAGAACGTTATCAATTTGCGGTTCATTAGTTCAACAAAATTTTTAGTTGAGTTTTACCATATTTATATTGGGTTGATGACACTAACAATCCAATAACAAATTCGAACCGGTTGTAACACCGGGTCTCAGTTCGACTAATCGGTTTTTAAAACTATATGTTAAAGTCTCCTTCCACTACAAAAAAAAAAAAAAAAAAAAAAAAAAAAAAAAAAAAACTTTTAGTGACATTTAATATTAATTTTAGTGATAATAAAACTGGTCATAAAATAGTATACTGATATTTACTCATTAGTTATTACATGCAATGCAGGTAAAACTTTTACTAGCAATTATTTAGTATGCTGGTAAAGATCCCTATAATGATTGAGAAAAATATAAGTTTTTGTATTATTTTTTTCAATGGCACTAAAAATAAATTTTAAATGTTTGTCTCTACCTACTTATTGAGTTTTTACATTTCCACTAAGATTAATAAAGGATTCCTAGCTATTATTATTTTTGGAAGAATAAAAGTTATATCTTTAAATGAATAATTTAATTAGTGTACCGTACTCCTGCTAATCAAGCAAACCAAGTAGGCCCTTCAATTGATGATTGATTAACTCTTCAAATATGCCACATGACAAAATATGGTCGACTTCTAAACTATCCCTCTCACAATTAATTGGGGACAAGACGCCTTGATTTATGGAATATGCATGATGACATTCATAAATGTCAATATTTATGGGTTTATTAATGTTAATAAGGATACAATTTGATTTTGTAGAATTATAGCAAGAAGTAAGAGATTTATGTCCATAATATCATCCAAATTTATATGTAAAGACTCCTGGATATTAGAAAAGATTGGCTTTTACACTCATTGAATGTTCTAGATTAGGACAAATGCTATGTCTTTTAAGAGAAGGTTCCATACCATAACATTTTGGCATATCCACCGTGGCTCAGTAAAATTTTTCCTAGCCACACGAATTGAATAAAAAAGCTTTCATTTTTCTCTCAACTAGGTGACAAACTTTTATCTTATGTACCTTTTTATGATTGAAACATTTTCATGCTTCTTAGTCTTCTCCAACAAGGTTCTATCCTTTATATTCTCCTTATAAATCTGTTTGATCTATTTTTATATAAAAACGCCATAGGTAGCTTTGACTCGTCATATTTTGATATGTTATGAATTTCACATGTTATGTTATTTAGCTACATCTCTATATTCAGCTACTTGTTTCACGAATACTCTTTTTTAATAACAAAGAAAAAAAAATAATAATCATTCATGATGGAGCACTTGAACATATAATATATGTTTTTGTTGAATTGATAATCTTTGTTTTCATTTTCAATTGAATGATAATCTCAATATCTCCGATTATTATGTGTATTATTATGTTGTT